AACCTAAGGTTCAACAAGAGAACATATTTCAGTTTATCGAGCAAAACATTTAAGGGAAACAAAGAAACCCGACTAATTAGGAGTAAAACGTGTAAAGATGACTTTCAAGTAAGAAGAGGGTTGTTTGAACCCAAGGATGAAAAATCATGTTTTAAAATGGAAAGCCGGTCATGGTATTGGCCAAACAAAAGTATACAAGTTCAAATAGAAACCTAGCCCTCGAGCGAAAATTTGGGCAGCACGCCCTTTGTGTTTACCTAATTTTCCAGCCATTTAGGCTTCATTATTTTTCCTCAGCCAATCCCAAAGTCATATATATCATAAATGCAAGTCAATAGCCATTCCATAGGCTCATAACATCATAAGAATAAGTATCAAAGTCGTAACAAGTGCGGAAATACAATCTAGCAAAAGACAGATTTGACGTGTGGTTGCGGAAATAACACATCCGAGGCTATGCTTATCGGATTGAGGCACAACCTATACCATTTCGAAGCTAAGACACAGGGCTACAATGTTCATGAAGATCACTTAGTCCAGTTTCCAATGTAACCTAGTCAAATTCCCCAATTTACAGAACCAAAATCCAACTAGTCGGCTAATCAACCGCACGGCACTTGAATGGTCATAACTCAGGTTACCAAGGTCCAATTAAGGTGTTCTTGGTGGCATTTAAAATCTAAGACAGAATACTAAAACTTTCATGTTTTGTCAAAAAGCTAAAACAGCATGGATCCTAGTGAACAAACATGATAAACTGGATGAACTGACGAAAACGGAATACTGGAAATTTCCTAAAATAGTGAGGGTATTTTGGTCTTTTCACGGGCTACGTTGCTCCGATTGAGCTGAAATTTTGTAGGCACCTATAAAATACTATTCTATACAATGTTCATGTTTTATTCCAAGCCCAATTCGGCCTCTAACATAGGGCAATAAAAACGGGCAGAACCTAGTGACAATTTTCCAGAAATCTGAAATCATTTGGTTTCAATGATAAATTTCTTAATTTCTTACCCCACTTGCTACCAAAACCCCCTATATAACCTTGGATACAACATATATTAATCATACATCAAGTTTAGGCAGAAATTTATTAAACCCTAACTCATGTAACAAAAGGAAAAAATTACCCAAAACATGATAACAACCGTAATTCATCACGTACTTACTCCAGGTCCTGAAACCCCCCAAAGCAGTCTTGACGACACTGGGAAGGGTATTCAATGCGTTCCTTTGGGACAAAGCGCAGGATGACAAAAGGATACATTGGACGTCCTGGGAGAAAATGTGCTTTCCAACGGAGGAGGGTGGAGTGGGGGTGAGGTCTTTGGAGGACATGGTCAAGGCTTTTTCTTGTAAGCTGTGGTGGAGACTGAGGGAGCGAGCATCTATCTGGGCGGATTATATGTTTTCCAAGTATATAGGGGATCAGCATCCGATTCAAGCGGTAGTAACCAGACCAAAAGGTGTATGGAAGCGGCTAGTCGGCATACGCGAGAGGGCTGAGGCTAACATTGTGTGGAGCCTATGTAACATCCCGAATATTAGGAGGTTGTTTGTGAAGAAAATATTAAAGTGTATTTCTTTGGGTTGATTTAAAACCTTATTTTGGTTTAAAAGACTAGAAACCCTAATATTGTAGCCAAAAACCCTAGTTCACTTGTGACTAACCGGTTTTCCTAAATGTCTCATATTTTAATTGAAACCCTAATTTTAATTACTGGAATTGGAAAATTCCTCACGTTTTCTTAAAAATTTCTTTTTATTTGAAGATTATCATTTATTAAAGCCCTACTATCCAATTATCCCATGATAAGTGTAAATAAACCTAGAAAATAAGGTTTTACGCTTTGGTTTCAAGTTTGGAGCAAAATTAGGGTTTTCGCGATTTTTCGCCGGATGAATTTTCGGTACAGAGTAAGGATTAAATTTGGAGATTAAAGTGACTTTTGAGTGAGAAATAATATGTGATTAGTAGCAATGGTATAAAGTTAGTGAATGGGAAGTAAAAACCCTAGTACGTGAGTTTTAAGAAAAACGGCGCGAACCGGCGGGTCCCGCGCACTACCGTTTGAACGCACCACTGGACCACCACTTTCTTGCACCACAAGTTTATTGATATTTGAGCCAAAATATCTTCTTATATTACAGCTAAGGGGACCGAAATTTGTGGCTTATAAGCAAGGGGAAGAAAGAGAAAAATTAGTGGCTAAGAATTGTCCAAGTGTTAGCCAAATTGTGGTCTTAATTAACTCTAACCTTCTTACTCCTTATAAGACAAAAATCAGCTTCATTTCTCTTCATTTTCTGCTGCTAAGAGCCGAGAGAGAGAGAGAGTAAGAACAAGAGAGGAAAAACAAAACTCTTCTCCATTTCTTCTTCAATCCACCAACAAAGTGAGAAATCAAACAAAAGAAACCGATTAATCTTGTCTTTGAGTGGTTAGTTAGTGTTTGGTGGTGAAAGTTTGGAAAAGGAAAGCTTGGGGCTGCTTTTAGAGACTTCTAACCAAGGTAAGAGAACTCATCTCTCTAAGTTTTGCTTTTGATTTTGTTAAATTAAGTTAGTAGTTTGATTATAGTGGTGGAATCATGGATGATTAGCATGATTTAGAGGTTTTCCCCAATTTATTTGATGAACTAGGGGTTCTGATTTTCTGCTCAATGTGATGTATGATGTGTAAATGTTGCAATTAAGGTTATATAAGGTTGTTTAGTGGTGATTAGAACCAGAAATTTGAGGAAATTACACTTAGAGCTAAAAATTCCAGATTTCTGGAAAATTTCCCAAGCATTCTGTCCGAAATTGTACCTATATGTTAGAGGCCGAATTGGCCTTTGGTCAAAAAAGGAAAGTTGTAGAGAATGGCATTTTATAGGTGCCTACAAAATTTCAGCTCAATCGGAGCAACGCAGAACGTGAAAAGTCCAAAATACCCTTGCTGTTTTAAGAATTTCCCAGCAGTCCGTTTCTTCAGTTCAGTCCAGTTTATCACGATTTTTGATCAGGATCCATTCTGATTTAGCTCTGGGCCAAAACATAAAAGTTGTAGTGTTCTGAAGTAGCTTTAAAATGCCTCAAAGAAAACCTGATTCGGACTTGTGTACACTGAGTTAGGTCCGCTACAGCATAATGCGTTTAAACAGCCGATGAATTGGTTTCTGGTTTAGTAATCTGAGATTTTGACTAAGTTACATTAGGAAATGGACTAAGTGACCTTCATAAATGTTGTAGCTTTGTGTCTTAGATTCGAAACGGCATAGGTTTCGCCTTAATCCGATAAGCGTAGCCTCGGACAAGTTATTTCCGCTTGTATACGTCAAATCTGTCTTGTGCCACATTGAATTTCTGCACTTGTACTTGATGCGGTTCTTGTTGTTATGATATTGTGAGCCTATGGAACGGCTCTTGACATAAATTGCTGATATGTATGTTGTTGGGCTGTTGTTGAAGAAAAATAATGAAGCCTAAATGGCTGGAAAATTAGGTAAACACAAAGGGCATGCTGCCCAAATTTACGCTCGAGGACTATATAAATACACTTGCGACTTGGGTCGAGTTGATATGAATAGTACTTGAACCATCTAGGGTACTTGAGTCTTCTTGTTCGAGGTATATAAGTAAGGATTTGGCCGAACTTGTACCCTTGAGAAATGAAATAATGATTGCTCAAAGTACGTTTTCCCTTGTACTTTCGACTCGCATGACCATTTCAAGTATAAATGTTATAAAGTTTTATCATTTAAAAAGTGAGCGAGTATCTCACGAGTATTCTCCAAGTGAATTTCAATTTCTTGATTCTTATTGAACGAAACGTCTAAGTTTCGAACTCTAGTCATGTTTCAAAGTTCTCAAATTGAGTTTTATCGCAGATTTGGACTCCGAACTCGGAGTATAACCTGAAAGTGACCAGTAGCACTATATCTTTTGGGTGAGTGCTTTCAAATACCGAATTGAACTTGATACTTGAACTTGATACGTGACCAATCTGATTACATGTTATATACGTGAATTGTAAGGGCAAGAGTGTACTTTATCGCACTTGCCCTTACGTGATATACTTGTTTATTGTTGCAATTGACTTGATATACTTGTTTATGATGCGCGCACTTCCTGGAATTCCAGAAACCCTGTGGCGAGTTACTCTAGTCGAGCCGGCAAGGGCTTGGTCGATTGGGTAACGAACCCTGGGTCTCTTGTATCGTCGAGTGGAGTGATATCTCCTTGACTAATCGGTATACTCGAGTATTACCACCCGTGTTCTTGAGGATTTTGGGCCCAGCTGGGGGTTGAACGGTGGACGGAGAGTCGTTTAAGTGGTGTTCTGCTGGATTGGTTACTTACTTGAAAGTTGACGGAGTATCAACTACTACGGGATCAAGCTTCTGGTAATGCAATGGGAATTTGACTCCTGAGAGTCATCCGTATCCTTATACTTTGGAATGATTATTGTTTATTGGATTATTGTTTCTTTTGAAAAATTTTCTACATGCGCTCATTTTAAGATTGCTACTTGACGTGCTACTGTTCACATTTATGAACACTTTATGAACACTTTATGCTCGTTACTTTGCTATATCGAAAACTCGTACTTATAAATAATGGTCAATTTGCTATTTGGAACCTCACTGGGCTTTTAGCTCATTCCACTCCATTTGTTTTCCTTTCAGGGGTACGAGCGAGGTGTGAGATATGTAAAGTCTAGCATAGACTAGCTATTTGATTTTGACTTGTACTCACGCTATTCCTCGGATGGAACATGTTGTATTTGGATTGTATTCGTTTTGATCTAGTTTGGTGTATTGAGACTTCGTACTTCGATTTCTATTAATGTAAATTATAAGCTTGAATTGGGAATGTTATTTATGGTTCATGAATGTGTGTACGTGACTCGATTGAGATAGTGAGTGAGTCCTGGCGAGAGCTGGGCAGGCGGTCCGCCGAACCCTTTGGTACGCCTTAGGGGGAGGTGGGGTCGTCACAGCCTAGGCCCGGGCATGGTGGATTTCTGGTTGGACACCTGGTGCGAGCAGGGACCTCTCCATTCATTGGTGGCAGCAGATACGGCCCGTCCCCATTTCTTGGTGGCAGAGTTTTTGGACCGGGAGGGGTGGAACAAGGAGCGCCTCCTGCAGTGGCTTCCGGAGCACCTGGTGGAGAAGGTAGTTGACGTACCCTTCGACCTGGAGGGTCAGGATCAAATCTTGTGGTCTCCCTCGTCGTCGTCGGGGTTCTTGCTAAGCTCGGCTTGGGAGAGGTGTCGCAAAAGACGAGGTAGGTCATTATTACACGGGATGGTTTGGAATAGGGGCGTGTTGTTGAAGATGTCTATGTTCGCATGGCGTCTGTTAAGAAACTATGTACCGGTGGATTCGGTTATTCGTCAGAGAGGGGTACCTGTGGTGTCCCGATGCTCTTGTTGTCTGCAAGAAGAAGAATCGGTGCTCCACCTCTTTGCCAATGGACCCGTGGCAACGGAAGTTGGGGGGCACTTTGGGAGCAGGTTTGGGGTCGGGCGTCGCCCAATTGAGGGGCTGGAGAGTCTTTGGAAGAAATGGGCTGCATCTCTCCCACGGTTGCCGGCTCATCATATCAGATGTATCCTTCCGGTGCTGATATGGTGGTTCCTTTGGAAGGGACGTAATAAGGCGCGGTTTGAAGGTCAGCTATTCTCAGCGCAGCGGATAAGATGGGAGGTGGACGGCTGCATACAGGATATGGGACGTGCGGGGAGGCTGATGAAGGAGCAGTTTTATGGTGACCTGGACGACCCTTGGGCACGGCTGGCTCGGCCGGCCAACCGTCAACGACGGCCAATAGTGGTATCCTGGAGCAGGCCTCCACCCCGTCAGAGCAAATTAAACACTGACGCCAGCGTGGTCAATGGCAGGGCGGCTGGAGGAGGAGTTTTGCGCGACTCTGATGGCAGGCTCATTTTTGCGTTTTACAAGGAGTTTGGGGAGAAGGGGGTACTGGAGGCCGAGGCGATGGCACTACAGGAAGGTTTGCGGGAGTGTGTGACAAGGGGAGCTCAGGGGGTGTTGGTGGAAGTAGACTCGGCGGTTCTGGTATCTCTGGTCAATTCGTCGGTGCTGGGAGGGTGGGCGCATTGCAATCTGTTGCGTCGGGTTCGCCCTTTACTGGGGCAGGTGGCTGGGACAGTTATACACATTTTCAGAGAAGCAAACATGGTGGCAGACAGGTTAGCAGCCATGCAAGGATGTCCAGATATGATTTTTGAGTCAGTTCGGCAGTTGCCGAGGGAGGTTCGAGGGTGCCTAGCCTTGGATGCTAGGGAATTCCCGTCCATTAGATTAGTACCCGGGTAGACTGTGTCTCTACAATTTTTCTTGATGTAATACATTTGGAATTTAAATAATAAAAAAAAAAGTAAAAGTAAAAGTAAAAAAAAAAAAATAGTAAGATTAAAAAAAAAAAAAAAAACCGTAATTCATCACAATCTTGAGATGCTAAGCTAATTTAAACAAGATTAAGAGTAAAAATTGGGGAAATCATCATCCTTACCTTGCTTAGTGTCTACCAAGAGCAACCCTAGCCTTCCCCTTCAAAATTTCACCAATAGCTCACTCAATAAACACTCAAGGGTGCCTTTAATCGGTTTAGTTTCTTTGTTTCCTCACTTTGTGACTTGATTCAAGAAGAAATGGAGAAGCTTTTCTCTTGTTTTTGCTCTCTCTCTCTCTCGGCTCTTCAGCAAAAATAATGAGGAAGAATGGTGCAAATTTTGGGGATAAGAAGGTTGGACAATGTCTTGGTCAATGGCCTCTAATGGTGTGACACTTGTCACAACCCTTACCAAGTAAAATTTCCTTTTCTTTTCTTGTATTTTCAGCCTCTAATTTCGGTCAAGCTTAGCTGGAATTTAGGAGATATTTTGCTCAAATATTAATGAGCTTGTATGGTAAGAAAATGGTGATCAAGTGGTGTGTTCAACCGGTAGTGCGCGGGACCCGCCGGTTCGCGCCGTTTTTCTTAAAAACACACGTACTAGGGTTTTTACTTCCTATTCACCAACCTTATCTCATTGCTCCTAATCACATATTATTTCTCACTTAAAAGTCATTTTTAATCACCAAATTTGATCCTTGCTCCATACCGAAATTTCATCCGGCGAAAAATCGCGAAAACCCTAATTTGCCCCAATCTTGGAAACAAAGAGTAAAACCCTACTTTCTAGGTTCATATGCACTTATTGTGGAACATTTGGGTAGTAGGGCTTTAATAAATAATAATTTTCAAATAAAAGGCATTTTTGAAGAAAAGAAAAAAAAATGTAAGAAATTTGCGGGTCCTTACACTCTCTCCCCCTTAAAAAAATTTCGTCCTCGAAATTTTACCTTCAGTTGCCTCAGACGAGTCCGGAACTTGTCGGTTGTCTAAAGCATAAACCCTTGCCGGTCCGCTAGTTTGTTTCCCTCCTTCATTCACTTGTGATTTAGCTCCATCCAGTTGCAGAATATTGATTTCACGTGACTGTCTCCTCGGACAGTTGCTAACTTGATGATCGCCACTTCCGCAGATTAAACATTTCCGCCCCTTTCTCCAACAATCGCTTTCGACATGATTTGCCTTTCCACAGTACCCACTGACCACGTGAGAAGCCATCTTTTGGCTTTCTTGAAAACTTTTCCCAAATCTGATTTGGCTTTCTTTTGTAGATCCTTCACCTATCGCCCCTAATGTCCATGGTGGGTGGGACAAAAAGTTCACTTTTTGCACTTTGGAAGGGACTCTCGCTTCACTTAATTCCTCCACTACACTACTCGATGCACTCCTTTTCTGGGTCTGGGAAGCTTTTATCTGTGCCTTTGCAGTCTCGATTCTTTGAGCTTTCTCAAGGGCCTCTGTAAACGTATTCACTTGTACTGGCGCTAATGCTTCTTGGAGTTCCAAATTTAATCCCTGTATAAACCGTCTTACTCTTCGCCGCTCTGTGGCCACCAATTCAGAAGCAAACTTGGATAGTTTCGTAAATTTCGTTTCATATTCGGCCACACTTAGCGTTCCTTGGCGTAGTCCAATAAACTCTTCCTCTCTCCTCTCTTGAACTAAAGGAGGGAGGTATTTCTCGTTAAATTCCCTTATGAAATTCGTCCATGTCCATACGGTCTGTTCGCTTTCCCATTTTGCTTTAATAACGTTCCACCACGCTCGAGCCGATCCTTCAAATTGGAACACCGCAAAGTTTACTTGTCTTTGCTCGGTGTAGTTCAAGACGGTGAAAATATTAATCATGGCCTCTAACCATTGTTCGGCTATATCCGGATCAGATCCTCCAAGGAATTTCGGAGGAGTAAACTTCTGAAACCTCTCAAGAGCCTTATCTTCTCCGATTTCAGGGTTCCGGGATTGATTCACGGCCATTTGGCCTTGTTGATCCACCAGTCTTGCCAAGATATCTGTCATTTGTTGCATTACCGTTGCCATTTGGTCTTCGGCTTCAACCCTCGTTCCTTGCTCTTGTGCAGCTGTTGTTTCTCTTTCCTCTCTTGGCTCTTGAGCTCGTTCATTCCCACGGCCACGTCCACGTCCATGGCTACGTCTCCCGTCCATATATATGTTTTCCCTTTCTTTTCTTTTTCCCCGAAAGGTAATTTAGTAAATAAACACGATAAGGTGACTAAAGTAACTAAAATTGAGGGCACCAAATACTCAAATAAACATATACCCACATAACACACCACATAAACATATCAAGGAAACAGATAATCAAATACACAAACACGTCTCAAGTCAAGCGGATATTCAATACACAAGTACACAACTGACGGCATGTAGTGACAATATACGGGCGAATCAAAAGAAAAGGGGTATATCGTCCCACACCCAACTAGAATAACCCCGTCCGATTTCTCACGTCACTTTCTATCCGACTCGATGTCCGTTGATCTCTTATACTTATTCTAGCCAGACAAAACCCGTTCATGTTTCCAAAATGCAAGTCTCAAGTATTTAGCAGCACCTCAACTATAGAGTACTCAGGCACGAGAATCCGAAATAAGATAGTTCACATCTCGAGCTGCAGTCCCAGGAGTAAACCATCTACAATCGAAATTCCTACCTGACGTACCTATCTATAGTCCTCAGATACCATAAGAAAGATTTAAAGCCTATAACATTCACAATTCATAGCTTCACTTAGTCCCTCATACTTATTCACCACTTAGTCCAGGGTCACTCCGCGCAGAGACCACGCGAAGCAGCTATAGGTTTTATCCCTCAATCGTTTAACTTTCAAGTCAAATCGAATCCCACAGTCCGGCATCCTATACTTCAAGCCTAGGATACACTACAGAGATGTGAAGCCTAAACTCTGATACCACCTGTGACGACCCCACCTCCCCCTAGGGCGTACCCCAGGGTTCGGCGGGTCGCCTGCCCAGCTCTCGCCGAGACTCAGTCATTCACTACAGTCCTCAATTAAAATCGGAATAAATCACAAGAATAAATAGGGCAGCAATCCAAACTTAAAGCGGAACTTATATACATTGCTATCTCAAAAGGAAGTACAGCCATCAAATGTACAAAGGTTCTCACTTCACCATACAACTAGCCCGTGCCAAGCACTAGGGCGAGAACCATTACAAAAGAAACAAAAGACCTAGACTAGGCTAGTCTATGCTCTCATCCTGCTCGCCGTCCCCTGTTAAGGAAAACAAAACTAAAGGGGTGAGCTAAAAGCTCAGTGAGGTTCCGAACAGATAATCAAACAATAAATTCAATACATTAAACATGGAGTATCAATAATTGAAGAAACATTTACAATGGAAAGCGATAGCAACATTCATTAAAAGGATACGGCTCACAAGGAGCAATTCGTTCCTTCGTTCATTCGTTCTCCTGTCATTTCCCCTTATTCCTCCAATCATTTGAAAATTCATTTTTTCGTTTATCAATAAACCCTCGTTCGTGTTTACCTAATAGAAACCTAGCCCTCGAGCGAAAATTTGGGCAGCACGCCCTTTGTGTTTACCTAATTTTCCAGCCATTTAGGCTTCATTATTTTTTCTCAGTCAATCTCAAAGTCATATATTTCATAAATGCAAGTCAATAGCCATTCCATAGGCTCATAACATCATAAGAATAAGTATCAAAGTCGTAACAAGTGCGGAAATACAATCTAGCAAAAGACAGATTTGATGTGTGGTTGCGGAAATAACACATCCGAGGCTACGCTTATCGGATTGAGGCACAACCTATACCATTTCGAAGCTAAGACACAGGGATACAATGTTCATGAAGATCACTTAGTCCAGTTTCCAATGTAACCTAGTCAAATTCCCCAATTTACAGAACCAAAATCCAACTAGTCGGCTAATCAACCGCACTGCACTGGAATGGTCATAACTCAGGTTACCAAGGTCCAATTAAGGTGTTCTTGGTGGCATTTAAAATCTAAGACAGAATACTTAAACTTTCATGTTTTGTCAAAATGCTAAAACAGCATGGATCCTAGTGAACAAACATGATAAACTGGATGAACTGACGAAAACGGAATACTGGAAATTTCCTAAAACAGTGAGGGTATTTTGGTCTTTTCATGGGTTACGTTGCTCCGATTGAGCTGAAATTTTGTAGGCACCTATAAAATACCATTCTATACAATGTTCATGTTTTATTCCAAGCCCAATTCGGCCTCTAACATAGGGAAATAAAAACGGGCAGAACCTAGTGACAATTTTCCAGAAATCTGAAATCTTTTGGTTTCAATGATAAATTTCTTAATTTCTTACTCCACTTGCTACCAAAACCCCCTATATAACCTTGGATACGACATATATTCATCATACATCAAGTTTAGGCAGAAATTTATTAAACCCTAACTCATGTAACAAAAGGAAAAAATTACCCAAAACATGATAACAACCGTAATTCATCACAATCTTGAGATGCTAAGCTAATTTAAACAAGATTAAGAGTAAAAATTGGGGAAATCATCATCCTTACCTTTCTTAGTGTCTACCAAGAGCAACCCTAGCCTTCCCCTTCAAAATTTCACCAATAGCTCACTCAATAAACACTCAAGGGTGCCTTTAATCGGTTTAGTTTCTTTGTTTCCTCACTTTGTGACTTGATTCAAGAAGAAATGGAGAAGCTTTTCTCTTGTTTTTGCTCTCTCTCTCTCTCGGCTCTTCAGCAGAAATAATGAGGAAGAATGGTGCAAATTTTGGGGATAAGAAGGTTGGACAATGTCTTGGTCAATGGCCTCTAATGGTGTGACACTTGTCACAACCCTTACCAAGTAAAATTTCCTTTTCTTTTCTTGTATTTTCAGCCTCTAATTTCGGTCAAGCTTAGCTGGAATTTA